TGGGGCTCCTTATGGAAAGGATGGTCTCCCAGCTGGGGCTGGTGTTGGTGATGCTGGTGTTGCTGGTGCAGGGGCAATTGGTTCTCACTATGGAAAAGATGGTCTTCCAGTGCGGATGGGAACTGGGGCTGGTACTGGTGGTGCCGATATTGGTGGGTTTGGGTCTCCATATGGAAAGGATGGTTTCCCAGCTGGGGCTGGTGTAACTGGTGGAAGGGGTGTTGGTTCCTTCTATGGAAAGGATGGTGTCCCAAGAGGAGCTGTGGCAGGAACCGCTCATTTTCCTTTTGGAGGTGAAGAGGTAATGGGACCTCGCCATGGTAGGGATGCTATGTTGAGCGGAGCTCAAGGATATCGAGGTGGAGCAGGAGGAGATGGCTTTTCTGCAGAAGGCGGTGGTGTTGGTGGCTCTGCAATACGAAGTGCTGGGTCTCCCTATGGCAAGGACAGTGGGTCAGCTGGAGCCAGGGCTGGTGTGGGTGCTGCTGGCAGGTTGGGAGGTGATGAAAGGGAGTTACATTCAGTCCGTGGTAAAGAAGGTGCAGCAGGTGCTGTTGGACGAGGTGCTGAATATGGGCTGGATTCACATCCTGGCAAATCTTCTACGAGAGGTAAAACTGAAAAGGGCTCTGCCAGGGACCTCAGAACATCAGGGAACAAAGGTTCATCTCATGACAGAGATTCACTTTCAGATGAAAGAGATGCCAGGGGTGAGGGTAGAGATGGAGGGCAGTTACGCTCCCTTTCTGGCAAAAGTTCTGCCTTTGGAGGTGCAGGGGGTAAATCCCATGACAGATCTGTTGTCGGGAGAAATTCAGGTCAAGGTTCATTGGATTATGGTCAGATGTCAGATCTTTATGGTGGACCTCCTTCAATAAACCAGAGAAAAGAGGAACCTGACCTTGATATTAAAGCAAATGATTTCTTGAAGAATACGGAAAGTACGGAAAAAAGAAAATACTATATCCTGGGTGATTTGAAAGGTACGTGTTTAATTGATGACTTGTGTAGTGCTGGTCTTTGTATTTTGACACATTCATAATTCTGGAGAGAAATTGAATCTAATGGTTTAAACAAATGTAGCTATATGTAGAAATCCAGTTATACCACGATCTGTTCCTAATTCTACCACTGATTTACTGTTTGACCTTACACTGGTTGACCTTTCACTCAAATCAAACTGCCTGAAAAGTCTAAATGATCTTTGTCTAAACTGTCCAAAACTGGTATCATATGTTCATTCAAACAAATGATTCAGATCCACGTGGAACACACTTGAGTTCACAAACATACTAGTTCCCATATAGTTTGGAGGAATATAGCCAGGTGTTGTGGTTTAACCCCAGCTGGCAGCTAAGCACCACACAGCCGCTCGCTCACTCCCCCCACAGTGGGATGGGGGAGAGAATCTGAAGAGTAAAAGTGAGAAAACTTGTAGGTGAGAAACCTTCATGTCAGTGAAACTATCACATAGGTAAAGCAAAAGCCACACGTGCAAGCAAAGCAAAACAAGGAATTAACTCACCACTCCCCGTCGTCAGCCACGTGTTCATCTCCAGGAGGGCAGGGCTCCATCACACATAATGATTACTCGGGAAGACAAATGCCATGACTTGCATGTCCCCCACTTCCTTCTGCTCCCTTCAGCTCTATATGCCGAGCATGATGTCATATGGTCTGGAATATCCCTGTGGTCAGTTGGGGTCAGATGTCCCCACTGTGTCTCCTCCCAACTTCTTGTGCACCCCCAGCCTACGTGCTGGTGGGGTGGTGTGGGGAGCAGAAGAGGTCTTGACTATGTGTAAGCACTGCTCAGCAATCACTAAAACATCTTTGTGTTATCAACACTGCTTCCGGCACAAATCCAAAACATAGTCCCAGACTAGCTACTGGGAAGAGAATTAACCCAACCCAAACCAGCACACCGTGCTTCTTTTATATTGTTACAATTTAAAACTCATTGTTTCACTTTATTTGTTCTAACATCTCGTGCAATGAGCTGTGTTTTTCCAACTTCTGGGAGCAAATCTGTGCCTGCTAATGTTGGATTAATGTGCTCATTGGGCATAATGTGAAGAGCTCTTTTCTCTTGTAAAATCAGAAATAATCAGGTGTTGCATATAGTGAAAGGAGAGTAATGTGTATGCACCTATAGAGGCTGACGTCACTTGGTTTGTTCAGCCTGGAGAAGAGGAGACTGAGAAGAGATCTCATGGTGGTCCTGAACTTCCTCCCAAGGGGAAGAGGAGGGGCAGGCGCTGATCTCTTCTCTCTGGCCACCAACAAATGCCAGGAGCAGAGGGAATGGCAGGAAGATGTGGCAGGGGAGGGTGAGGTTGGCCATGAGGAAAAGGTTCTTGAGGCAGAGGGTGGTGGAGCACTGGAACAGGCTCCCCAGGGAAGGGCTCATGGCACCAAGCCTGACAAGATTCCAGCAGCATTTGGCCAAGGCCCTCAGGGACATGGTGTGAATGTTGGGATTGTCCTGTGCAGGGACAGGAGTTGGACTGGATGATCCTGGTGGGTCCTTTCCAACTCACAACATTTGATGATTCTGTGATTTGACTAAAACCAGTGGCTACACCAGTGTGATGATAATGCGAAAGTTGAAGAAATTAAAAACTTTCTCTGTATAACTGAAGGGAAATATTCGCCTGACAGAATTGCTGACAAGTTAGAAATTATCAAGGCAAAGAAAACGTAAATATAAGTAAGGAAGTAAAATAAACAAAATTGTAGTTAACGGGGAAGGAGTTGGGTGGGTTATTAGAGAGAGGACGAGGATGTTAATGGAGAAGAACTTAAGGGCAAGAGGAATACAGGAGCTAGAGAACGGTGTGACTTGGGGCTGTTTAGGGGGAAATGGTTGGGCAACCCTTCATCTGCTCCATGCAGGGGAAGAGAATGATGATCTCTCTATTCTGGAGTAGTCTGCTTTTTCCCACTGTCTGTAGAAGGAGCCAAGACAATTAACACAGACTTAAAATAGCAGATCTGTAGATGGAGAATGTGATTTGTGATGAATCCATCGCCCATTAGGTTGCTGTTAGGACTATATTGTATGCAAGCCAGCTGGCACGTCCCTTCAGTGCCGTGAGTTGACACCAGCTGGCCCACAATGTTGTGGTACCAAAGCCTGTCATGACTACAGTAAATATTCTTTTACAAGTTCTCTTTTCTCTTCACCTGCACGAGCATTTTCACATGCATCTCTCTGTCTGTGTAACAGAGGTAACATCTTTTCACCATTTTATTTTCTGAATGTTCAGCACCACCCTGTCGTATCAACAAACGTTTACTTGATATCACGGTCCTGAAAGGGGAACCAGCTGAGTTGTCTTTCACTGTCAGCAGACATGATGTGACTGGAACCTGGTTTAAAGATGGACTAAAGGTCAGTGTCCTCTAGCTACTGTTTTCTTCGGTTAGCAATGCTCTACTCTCTAGTTCTACCTCTTATTGAGTGTTGTGTCAAGGTGTCCTTCCCTCTGCCAGTCTTACTCTAGTCTGAGTATGGCCCTGGAAGGATTCTGCAAGAGCCTCTTGATGATAAAATTCCTGACAGAAACCCGGGTAAATTTCTCCTCTTTCCTGCAGCAAGACATTTCCATTCTTGCTGACAACAGGAGGCTTTGGACTTTCCATTCTTCGTCATGGCTGGAGATGGTTTGGGTCTCTTTCTTGCAATGCAATCCTTTTTCTTTTCCTCGGTGAATGAGAGAAATATGCAAAAAGCAAAGGCAAATCTTCAAAGGATCCTTCAAGCAGGCAGAATGCAAACAGTACGGTTTCAAATTAGTGCTTAAGGTCAAGAATAGACACCATATTCTATGTTCCAGAACAACACTGAAGAGTAATTCCAGTTGTGGGATCCAGATGATGCTGTAGGAGTTTAAAATTAAAACAAGCAAACAAAAATTAAAAATAAAATTAATTTTCATGGACTTTTAATCAGGTCTTTGTGGGGAGTATGTTGATAATGCTCATATGCAACGTTACCAGATGAGTAATCCCAGAATATTATTGTAATTAAACATGCTTGTCATTCATAAGTCATTTCAATTACATTTCAAATTTTTGTCTGTCCAGTTTAAGTTTGGATTGACCTTTTTTTTTTTTTAAGAATGAGTCTCTCTGCTTTACCTTGTAGTTAACAAACATGGATGGAATCTCTTTGGAAAAGGAAGGTCTAGTCCACAAACTAATTATTAACAAAGTGGAAGATATTCATGCTGGGAAGTACAGGTTTGAAGGTGGAGAAATAAAAACTGAAGCTTCAATTTTTGTTGAAGGTGAGTCTATTCAAACTACCGATGCAGCGTGCTCGTCTTGATGCGCTTGAAATGTAATTGCATTTTCCCCAGAGACCTAGAGTTGGTTATTGAGACAACTTTATTCTGAAGAATTACCATGTAAATGGGAGATAATTTTTGTGCAGGTTGGTGTGTTCTGTAATTAAAAATTTGACTCAAGAGCCTTCCTGAATAGCTTCTATGATTAACTCAAAGGTTTCTGGGGTGGACGTAACACTTTATCAGACCGGATTCTTCATTCTTGTGTTTAGTGTATTGCCTATGAGACATTTGCTCCGGTGGAAAGGACAGTATGATACCACAAATACTTTGTGATAATACTTTGTGATAAGAAATCGTGGCCAGCAGGTCGAGGGAGGTGATTCTCCCCCTCTACTCCACTCTCGTAAGGCCCCACCTGGAGCACTGTGTCCAGTTCTGGAGCCCCCAACACAAGAGAGACCTGGAGCAGCTGGAACAAGTCCAGAGGAGGCCACAAGGATGATGCGAGGGCTGGAGCAGCTCTGCTGTGAGGACAGGCTGAAAGAGTTGGGGCTGTTCAGCCTGGAGAAGAGAAGGCTCCAGGGAGATCTTATAGCGGCCTCCCAGTACCTGAAGGGGCTACAAGAAAGCTGGGGAAGGACTTTTCATAAGGGCAGTTAATGACAAAACAAGGGGAAATGGGTTTAAGCTGAAAGAGGGGAGGTTTAGATTAGATATTAGGAAGAAGTTCTTCTCTGTGAGGGTGGTGAGACACTGGAACAGATTACCCAAGGAAGTTCTGGCTGCTCCTCCCTAGAGGTGTTGAAGGCCAGTTTGGCTTAGGCTTTGAGCAACCTGATCTAGTGGAAGGTGTCCCTGCTGCTGGCAGGGGGGTTGGAACTGGATGATCTTTAAGGTCCCTTCCAATCCAAACCATTCTATGATTCTATGATTCTATAATTAACCTGTAGCAAAATACATGTATGTGTGTGAAGCGCTGAGCATGCAAGTAAAGGTGAAGGTCCAACTTTGTGAACTTCTAAGCATTATTGGCAGCATCATGAGGGAAGCTCTTCCCTCCAAGGTGAAACTTAGCCTCTTGAATTGCAGTTTTTAATGACCTTGTATCCTCTGCTTAGATCCTCCACAGGTTGACAGAGTTCTCATCAAAAACTTAACAAGTGTTCCTACTGTGGCCAAGGCAGGGGAGAAAGTAAAGATTAAGATCCCTTTTGAGGGCCGGCTGCCAGTCAGAGCCATGTGGCTAAAGGACAAAATGGAGCTAGCAGATGACACAAGGATTCGTGTTGATAAAACAGACATCTTTACCATGCTGTCCATCTCCAGCTGTGAGAGAAAAGACTGTGGAGATTACAAAGTCAGGCTGAAGAATGACAGTGGGGTCCTGGAGATCAACTTAAAGCTTCTGGTAATAGGTAAGAGCCCCATAACATCTACTGTGGCTTTCATTGTAAAGCTGAAGCAGGGAACCCATTAACACTGGTGACAATCTTATTTAGAGCTACTGGGCATTCCAAGATGAACAAGACCGTGTAATTTTCCATTAAATCAGGGTACAAGCAAAGACTGCTGACATGTTTCTTGTCCTTTAGTACAAGGTGACACAAATCTAGTTTGGTTTTGCACGGCCTCCAGCAGCTGAGTTTTGAACATTGGGGGACTGTGGGAGATAAAACTGTGTGCGGCAGGCAAATCTCAAATAGATTATCAAGGCCAGATTCAGTGCTACCATAAATGTTTGTGCTCTTTTTGAAGACCAGAAATGGTGTCCTTCCTTACAAGCAAACTGAATTGGTGCAGTGCTTAGGAGAACAATTAGCCCATGGAGCAAGGGCTCGGCTTCCCCCACACTTATCAAAACTTAGAAGAGCGGAAGTTTTGAAGAGGCAGTTCAAGTGCCCAGCTCTCATTCTGCAACTATCCATGTACTCCATCAGAAACTGAGTCTCCCAGCTGGTGAGCAAGAGACAGTCTCTGCTCCAAACCCAAGAGCATGTCTGGGTCTGGAGCCAACTCCTAGTCTCTTTGTGTTCATCATCATCAGTCCAGAGGAGGCCACAAGGATGATGCAAGGGCTGGAGCAGCTCTGCTGTGAGGACAGGCTGAGAGAGTTGGGGCTGTTCAGCCTGGAGAAGAGAAGGCTCCGGGGAGATCTTCTAGTGGCCTCCCAGTACCTGAAGGGGCTACAAGAAAGCTGCGGAAGGACTTTTTACAAGGACAGTTAGTGATAGAACAAGGGGTGATGGCTTGAAACTGGAAGAGGGGAGGTTTAGATTAGATGTTAGGAAGAAGTTCTTCACTGTGAGGGTGGTGAGACACTGGCCCAGGTTGCCCAAGGAAGTTCTGGCTGCTCCTCCCTGGAAGTGTTGAAGGCCAGGTTGGATGAGGCTTTGAGCAACCTGGTCTAGTGGAAGGTGTCCCTGCTGCTGGCAGGGGGGTTGGGACTGGGTGAGCTTTAAGGTCCCTTCCAACCCAAACCATTCTATGATTCTGTGATTTTCAGACAAGCCACAGCCACCTGCAGGACCCATCAAAATTGTAGAAAGCACCGCAAATGACATCACCATTCAGTGGAAGCCTCCAAAGGATGATGGGGGCAAACCAGTGCAAAGATACATTGTCGAGAGTCAGCAGGTAGGCAAGAACGACTGGGTGACTTTGGGAGAAACCCCCAAGAGCTGTACTACCTTCACTACTAACAAAGTAGAACAAGACATGAGCTACTACTTCAGGGTGAGAGCTGTGAGCGCCGAGGGAACCAGTGAGCCACTGGAATCGGAGGAAGTGAAGGCTGTCAGTAAAGGTAAGGAAGAACTTTTCATAATTGTGTTCCACATCCATCTGGGAAATTCATTATCAAAGCTGATATCAAAGATCTAAACTTGAATCATGGCTGTGAAATCTCCACAATTCTGTGGAGCCTGAACATTGAGGTTTATTGCGGGCTGTGGTGAGTGAGATGGCCTTAAGTTCTCAGTTATGCTCCATTCTGAATTGGAAAACAAGTTTCATGGGGGAAATATAATATGCATCAAGATCACAGAAAATTTTTCCTGGGATGGCTACAAAGGAAACATGTGAGGCCTTTTCTTGACTCCAGAGGCAAAGGAGTGTCTCTGGATGTGCAGCATTTTTCAGTACAACCACTTCTTCCCATGATTTCCTAACAACTCATTCTATTCTTTGTCCTTCAATGAGTTTAAATACTAGAAGAGTTTTGCCATGAGAATGAATGTAGTACTAGAGAGAAAGCAATGCTCTCTTCTATTTCTGATTTTCTTCTTTCTACATTCTCCTTCTCATGATTATGAGAAGCCCTGTATTTTGAATGTTTTAGCAGAGGGCTAAGAAAATCCCTTCCATTTCCAGTTTCTGCCATTAAAAGCAAGAATAACGCTGACTTGCCCTACCATGTAAGAAGGTACATGCCTCACTCCATGGGCTGACATGGAGTCAGTCATGATGACAGCAAATCATTAATTAAAATGAAATTTAAGAACAGAGGTCCATGCTGGATCCTGTTTGCGTAGGGGATAGGATAGACAGCTTCAGGTCTCAGTCAGGTTTTCAAAATACACCCATATGAATACCTTGGGGAAACTGGAAGAAGAAATGTCACAGAACACTTTCTTATCTTTCAATAAGAATATACCTGCTAATAATGAAACACTAATCTTGATTGATTTTTTGATCTTTAAGGTCCCTTCCAACCCAAACCATTCTATGATTGTATGATTCTAATCTCTTTCTAGCTTCACCTGGTGCCCCAGATCCCCCTGAGATTGTCAGTGCCAGCAGAGACACCATCACAATATCCTGGAAAGCACCTAGTAAAACTGGCAGTTCCCGGATTGTGGGGTACATCATTCAAAAGCGCAAGAAGGGTACCACGACCTGGCTGCCAGTCAACAGTGTGCCCATAGCAGGTAGGTAGCTTAAATCCTGGAACAGACTGAAGACTTCAAAAAGGTCAGTGGGTTCAGGAGGTAACACACTGATCTTTGTGGAGTTTCTGCCTTCTCACTCCTTGCTTTCTGCCTAGAATCTTACAGCTTTTCACATCTGTGTTTTTCTTGAATTCTTGAGCTGCTGACTGTCCCCATCAACCATATTACCCCTCTCTGAAGTTCTCCCTTGTCTTCCGCAGCTCTAGGGTACATGTTTTTCCACAAATAAAGTTTTTTCACGAGTAAGGTTACACAGCTGTGACATAGCAAAGCCAGACTTTGGTTCTATATACAACTGAATGCCTGGGAGGAAGATTAAGATTATTTTCTAGATTATGTGCAAGCATATGGCTGGAGAAGAGTGCAAAGAAGCTCACTGCTGCACCCTGGGCCAGTAGGTTCTCTATAGATAAACAGATGTCTTCAATTTCTGGAACTAAAGTCTTCACTTCACATGCAGAGCCTTAGTCCTCACACTAGGAACTTGTCAGACAAGAACTGGTAAATGCAAGGAAGATAAAGAAACCTGTGTCCCTGCTGCTGGCAGGGGGGTTGGAACTAGATGATCTTTAAGGTCCCTTCCAACCCAAACCAGTCTGGGATTCTAGGTGATGTGTATGAGCTCCAACATGTGTTTTGACTATAACTATCAGTTATCTATCAGTTGCAAGCTAGGACTTCTTATCTGCTATAGAAAGGTTTAGGATTATCCCATGAGGAAAATAAATATTTATCATTTCTCTAATGGAATAGCTCTCAAATACTGTTTGACTTGAAAGGGAGAACGATGAACATGTCCCAGAAGTTACACATGCACTTGGATAGGGAAGGGCAGGGGATTCAGTGGCAGCATTTACACACAGCTCCTGAGAATTACTCAGTCCACAATTCTACATGGCGTAAACTACAACATTGTTGCCTTACCTTTTCCTGTTTGGGAACAGCTCACCTGAGCCAACAGGCTCCTTTTCTTTCTGCAGACAAGAAGCTGAAAGTGACTAGTCTCAAGAAAGGTCTGCAGTACGAATTTCGTGTGGCAGCTGTCAATGCTGCTGGCGTAGGAGATGCCAGTGAACCATCGCAGCCTGTCTTTGCACGCGATACCACGAGTAAGTGCACTGCCCTCCATCCTCTGGCTTGGGGACACGTAAAGCTGAATGTAGACTGGAGAGGAGATGTTTTTAAATGCTTTGTAAGAGTATGTAGAGACAAAGATCAAGTAATTGGGGAATGTTTTACAACTGAGAATCTGCTATCAGCATGAGGAAGGAATGGACAGATTTCTTGTGTGATATCTAATCAAGATGTGGCAGACTCCCAGTGAGGGAGTTCTGTGCAGTGTGGGGAGGTGTTGGGGATGGGCTGCAGACCATCTCAGGAGTGCTGCAGGTTGTATTGCATGGCTGGCAGGAGCAGGCACCTGGATTCAGCTTTGAAGAACTGGGACAAGGTGGAGACGAGACAGCAGGGTGGATATCCAGTGCACTGCAAGAATGTTAGGGATCTCAGGAAATGACTGAAAAGAGGGGGCAGAAATCCTAGAAAAGGAGTTTAAATAAAATTTATCTTTTCAGAATCTCCAGGTAAAGTGCAGGACCTTAAAGTGAGCAGCAGTGACAGCACTAGTGTCACCTTGACATGGAAGAGACCTGAAGCAAAGGATGGGAGTGATGTGACAGGCTATGAGGTGGAGATTCGGTCTTCTAGCAACCTCAGCTGGACCAAATGCAATGCTCTTCCCATAGAGGTGACCACTTACACAGTTAAAGGCCTCCAAGCCAAGGAGATGTACTTCCTACGTGTGAGAGCCATCAATAGCTGTGGCCCAGGAGAAGCCACAGAGCTTGAAGCTTCCATTGAAGATGGTCCCCCTGTAGGTAAGTCAAAGTGGGCTGCTTTCAGAATGAATCAGGTCATTCTATAGGAAACAGGATGCAGGCAAGCTCTACAGGTCTCTATGATGAGCTTCTGTAAAGTCCCAGACAGACAAATACTCCATTGCTCCTCTAGAGTATGGACTTATAGATTCATAGAATAATAGAATATTGCAAGTTGGAAGGGACTCATAAGGATCATCAAGCCCAACTCCCTGCTCCTTGCAGGGCAGCCTAAAACTCAACCATATGACTAAGAGCATCATCCAGATGCAACTTGAACTCCGACAGGCTCCAGAGAACCTTGGTCACCTCCTCAGGAAATTCTGAAGGTGTAACTGATAATAAATTTACACTGTGCAGTGTTCAGCTCATGTTAGAGACTCAGCATGACAAAACAACCCCCAAAACTGTATTTTCTCCCCAGATTTACATGTTGCCCCCTGTACAGAGCTATACCACAGTCGTGATCACCAGACATTTCTCAGATTTATATTTTGCCCTCTGTACAGAGCTATACCACAGTCGTGATCACCAGACAGAAACCATACATACCTTACACCTTCCCCTGCTTTTTTAATGGAAAAATAGAGTTTTCAGTCTATTTTTATACAGTCTTTTGGAATTAAGCATTTTGTTTCATTCTCTTAAATTGCAATTGTTACGTTAGTTTTTGTAAACTTTCTTTTCCTTTTTAGCTTTTGGAATTAAGCATTTTGTTTCATTGTTATGTTAGTTTTTGTAAACTTTCTTTTCCTTTTTAACTGCCTAACTTGAATGCACCTTTTTCACTTTTTCATCTTTATTTACAATCTGTAGCTCTGATTTTTTTTTTCCTGCTGTTTGAGAATGTTGCAGAACTACAGGAATAAGAGATAATTCTGTGACAGTTTCATCTTCCTTAACTTGGGTCCTAAGTGGCAATGTCTACTTTTGGCCTATGCCTGGAGAATCCTTTTATAATTGGTCACTAAATAGATAAATATAAGTCCTGGAAAAGGACTGGGAAGCAGTTTTTTCCACTTCCAAACGGGAAACACTAAATACAATTTAGCACAATCATATTTGGCATTTTCAGAAAAATACTAAATACTATAGGATATTATATTGATGAAAAGAGGAAAAAAAATAGAAAAATATTTTTAAAGACTAAAAAATATTATTTTTAATAAACTCAGACCAATTTCCTGAGGATGTTTTGTACTTTGTACTGATCGTATATTTTGTAAGTGCCCATTGCAGTTTCCTTTTCCCCAGATGTCATTTTATACAAAAGATCATCCACATGATGGGGTAAAGGGTGTCAAACAACCAATTTCTCCATGTTTGAGACATCACATGTACATGAACATTGTTGTGAATGTATTTTTACATAATTTCCCCTTGTTTAGTCATAGTGATAAATAAATAGTAATAAAATTTGAAAGGTATAAACTCTGTTACTGAATCAAGGAGCTTTTTTTCCCCAGTGCCACTATGAGTTTATCAGCAGCCTGTAGACTGGCATTAGGAGCATCAAACACACTTATATGAGTTTGTCAGACAGTGACTCTGTATTAATGCACAACTTCTTATTGTTATCACAGTTTCTCCCAGGTTACTAATAGATGACACAGTGAAAAACTTCCTGGTTGTAAAAGCAGGAAATACCATCCGAGTGAATATTCCCTTTGAAGTAAGTTTTCAAATATGTTCGTAAGAATTCCCCATCTGTTTTTACGTTGTTGTCAATAGCAGACATGAAAACTGAGCTCCTGTTTTCTTGGCATGGAATTTTGTTTACAAGACACTGGGCAAATCCTTTATCCTGCCTGTGTGCTCTGTGTACTTTCTGCACGCGGAAAACACGAACAAGGATTCAGCTGTCACTCTTGGCATTAGTGTTTTATGAGATTATGGTCATTCATTAGTCTCTGCAAACAAGGCACAATGCTGTCCATCCAACCATATCAATATCATCATCATCTGGTCCTAATCTGTTACACTTAGAGTTTAAAAATCAGTCCATTTCCCTCTGACTCCCTTAGAAGGCCTTGGGGTAGCATTTCTAGCAACATCTGTTGTGTTTGCCTTACTAAGCAGCAGAACTTCAGCTATATGACTTGAGAAATAGGCATCCACTGACAGAAATCTTGTGTGCTTTGATGTAAGCTTGGAACAACACAGGTAAAGTCTGAGATATCAAGGAGATTGATGAAGGTGAATCGTGCGTATTCGCTGGCCTTTCTCCTAATCTCTTGGAGAACAGAGACCAAAGGTGGCACAATGAAAATAAAGACTTTGAGGATGTTTTTGCTTTTCCAAAATCAGCAGATCTTTTTAAAAGTAGAAAATATTAACTACTGATGTCATCTGTTGTTATTGATTTAGCACACCTTGTTTGACATAGTTAACCTGAACACTTTACTACAACAATATTCTTAAAAGACACAGAGAAAGAGAAAAGTTACGAAGAAACTTTAGAGCAGCCCTTTATGCAGGGCTCTTTGATCCATCTTGGAACAGTATTTATAAATATTACTTTACTGTTTCATGTAGATATATATTTGGGACAAAATAGTGAAACTAAAGATGTAAAGATGCAACCTGGAAGCAAAACCAAGTGGGCTGTAACTCATGTTGTTCTCTACAGGCATCGCCAGATCCAGTGGTGACCTGGTTAAAGGATGGGCTTCCTCTTACAAACCGGGCTACAATAAACACCGAAGATGGTACCACCCAGCTGCTGATTGGAGCAGCTGAGTTCACTGACAGTGGCACCTACACCATTGAGCTCCAGAATGCGTTAGGGAAAAGAGAAACATTCACCTTCCAAGTTCAGGTTACAGGTAACTCACTCACTATGTATGTACCTACAGCAAATAGGGAGCAGGCAATGAACTGAGTTCAGCAAGAGGAGCTCTGACGCAGTTAAGCCCTGCAGGTAGGGGGAGAACTAGAGTACAATTCTCCATGAGGTTCAGTCTGGTCACTTTGTGATATCACTTGGCTGTGTCTGCAGGACGGAGCAATCTACTGATTAAAATTACACTTGGCTTCCAGAGTGACTCTGCTTAAAAAGGCAGTGTCACACAGGTGGATAGTGCCAACCACAGTTCATGCTCTTTGTAAGTCTAAGGTTAGTCAGCAGCAGGCTGTAGGATGTTTAGTCACAGCTACAACAACTCTATATGCTGTCTCCCTAAAGAGGTGAGAATGTTTAGCTGTACCAGCCCTCATCTCCGCTATAAGAAGGGAAAGCGGCCCAGCAATGCAGATGTGCTGCAGCAGAAGTTCAGTTGATAGCAAATAAGTTTGTGTGACTGGAGAAGGAATCAAATTTTGTCCCTTCCAATGACCAGGATGTTTACAAAGTGCCCAGACATAAAATAGACTCAAAGGATTCTGTACTGCGCCACTTTC